AACAAGTAAAAAGTGTCACATGGTTAGGTGAGGACCACTTTCCCACTTGATACCCAAGGCATTTCACATGCAATGTGAACAAACCATGTGTCACCCAACCTTGAGCCCCAAGTTGGGTTCGGTTGGGCTATTTTATTTTGGCCCGTGTCCATGACCCATCGCCCCGGGTCCACGGCCTCTTGCCAGACGTGCCGCCACCATGGCGTGTTGCCACCATGGCGCACTGCCATGTTGCACGCTGCCTACGTGGTACGCTGCCACTTGGCGGCTGCTACTAGGTGGCTGCCAACGTGACGGCTGCCACTTGACGGCTGCCACGTGTGCTGCCACAAGGTGTTTTGCCATGTGTGCTACCACGTGGCACACACCTATTGGGCGCACTTTCTTAGCCTTTCGCGTGGCTAGGATTTTAGTTGTTACTTAAAGCATTGTCCCGTCTCACGAAATCCTAAATTTTTGCTCGACATTGGAGATTCTCCGACGCTCGATTTCGACGCTCCAAGCTTGAATTTCCGACGTCTAAATAATTAACACTCAGGCGACAAATTAATTTCTTCCAAATTAATTCGTCGAGTCGGTTTGTATATTTTCTAGGTTGTGACCCAAAGGGTTCAGTCCGGATTAAGCTGTAATATTAATTATACATTAAAATTACTGATCGGAAGCGTCCTCCTCCCAGGCATTCCGATCACTTGACCTTACTGAATATATTAGCTTTCTAATAATTCTTAACCCGCTATCAGAATAATACACTTGTTCGAAGGAAACCATTCCTTTCACTTTAGACCAAAAATAATTCATTTCGTGTCCTTTAAAATCATTCATTTCATGTCCTTTTAAAAATCATTCATTACGTTTAGTCATGTTAATTTTGGTCCATTATCTTGGTTCAATGATTGAATATTTGGATGGGGCCTTAAAAGAGCTTTCCAACACTATATTATAAGCCCAAATCCGAGTTATAACGAATAGGTTATGGCCAAAATATTAAATTGAGCCCAAATCGAACCTAAGCCCACCTTACCTATGACCCAATGATCATGTGGAGGGTCCAAATTATTTAATCTCATTACTAAACCAATTAGGATTAATTAGAAACTTCAATAAGTTTCTAAAAGATCTTAATTATCCTTTTTGAAAAGATAAGATTAAAGAGTTTGAAATTTAATAAAACTTTTCTTTTTGAAAATCCTATTTCTATCCGAATTGAAAGACGTTCAAAGATAGTCAGATATGATTTTCTTGCCTCATATTTTTTATCCAAATTTTATATGGTTGAATATCCCTTGAAATTATCTTTCCAATGATATATGATAATATCAATTCCGAGCTATAACAAAAAATATATAAATAAAATGTCAAACTCCATCCAAAACTTACACCGTCTACTATTTCGGCCATATCTTATAGGAAATTTTGCGAATGACTACCATTTAAATGACCACTTTTGATAACAACTACCATTTAAAATTTTCTTTTGAAAAAACTACCACAAAAACACAAAAAGTTTGAGTAGCACTACCACATTTATTGTTTCCGGCAGGAATCTCCGTTTTTGGGGCATATTTTATAAAATTTCCATGAAAAAACCCAAAATAAACGATAATATTGCACTACATTAACCCTTAATTGGATTATACACTTCAATTGCCCCAAATCCCCTAATTTCGTAAAGCTATGATAAAAACAAAAACCGCAAAAACTGCAGTCTATCGAGTTTTATTCTGATTTAATTCGGATCTTATCTTGTTTTTTCGACCCTTCTTTTTCCCTATAAATAGAGGTCATTTCTCCCCTTTTTCACTAAAATCAACCAGATTGATCATCAAATAATTCTCTTCTCCCTCTTTAGCCTAAACACTAGCCTCACCATTCTTTCACTATTCTTTCCTTTAAGCATTCCAAGGAGTTCATATAATACCCAAAGTTCTATTCTTAAACCAAGGCGTGAAAGGTATAATTGAATGAGGGTTTGAACTAAATCAACTCTCCTTTTTATTTAATTTAATTGTTTCAATTTGATTATATTTTAATTGATGTTACTAACAGTTTATTTATGATGTAGCAATTTAAAGGAATGTGCGGAATGTGAGTAATTAATTAATTTAATTACTCTTATTTTATTTTAATATTACTAGTATCATGATTAGGGTTATTTATATTTGATTTGACTAACACTATTATTGTTAAATTGCTTCCAATATTAATGTTTATTCTATTATTTTTATTATGATCACTATATTGCATTTTTAAAGGGAATATGTAATTGAAAATCACGCCGAATATGATAATTTGGACAACCAGTTTAAGTTCCTTTTAATCTTTTTATTAATTCAAGTGATCACGATATTTTAGAATAATGTGTTGCATTAATTTTTAACCAATTTAGCATAATATTAATTTGGAACAAATTAAACCATTGTTTGTATGCCTTTGAGATCACATGAATCACTTTTCACTATAAGAATCGAGTAGAGGCCAGTACGGGCGAATGTGACTCCATGACTCACTTTGTACCATCATCCACAATCCTCCTTTAGTGGTTCCGAACCATATGGAGTTAGTAATCTCATGGATTATGAATGGGGTGTAACTTTCACGGGTCAATCGTTGTTGCCTATCGTTGTCCCTTTATCATGGTTGCCTTTTATGATCCGTGAACGGTTTACAAGTTCCTTAAAAACTTATTGGCGGCTCTCTACTTTCCTTGTCCCTAATCGTATACGTCAATTCCCACTTCTTAAGAGTGCCAAGCATATTCATACATGCTTAACGTAGGCGCACATCGAATGACGCCTACAATTTGGCGACTCTACTGGGGAGGATTCTTGGTTATTTATCGATTTGAGTGATCCGTATTTAATTGAGATGAGTGGATGAGACTTGAAAGATTCTTGAATTGTATTATTCTTGCGATTTAATTGGCATTGTCACATATGCATATGCATTTTAGCTTACCTATTTTTCCACAATAGTACGTGTTCTATGTATGTGGCTAGCTCGGGGGATTTATGCTCTATCAACCCAAAAACACTCATGGAAATAAGGGTTCATCCGAATTTTTAAATCCACCCAAACCATGGAATCGAGTTCGATTTCATCAAGAACTCGCGGAGCCACCAGTTGGCATACACCCTTAAGGGAGGCTGCCTTGCTAACGCGTCCAAACTCTTAACCATGGTACCCTTTGACACCCAAAAGCTTGACCATATTGGAAAATAGATCTTGACTTTAAGTTGCAAACTTCATTGCATCATGCTTGACGATGTGCTTATATGTGCATTTTTTTATTGACTTTTTTTAATTATTTTTTTTCTCTTATCAAACCCTTTTTATATTTTTAGGGTCGAGTCATAGTTTTTTTTTTTTTAATTTGAGTTAACCAGAATTTCTATTCTCGTATCCCGCACAAGAGTCAACTTGTTTTGGTCATCGCCAGAGTTCTAGAAAGAGTTATGTGTCATGCAAACTATGGATCTGTAGTGAGGTTTGACTTTCGTTGACTTTCTCTCTTCTCTCTCTTCTCCATGGTTCTTCATCTTTGATCGGTTTACTTCATCAATTCTGGATTTCAATGGCTAAGAAGAAGAAGCAGAATACTTCTACACCTCAAGTAGCGCAACAGAAGAATGCTCATGAAGCTTTTAACACGATTTTGCAGAACTTGAGAAACTCAGGTACATCGTTTGTTCCTAGTCCAATTTAAGAGGTGGATGAATTGGTTACTCTGGCGCGGGCGTTAGTGCACTCAGCATGTGGAGCTATTCCCAGAAGTGATGCTGAGACCATTGCTCTGTTTGCTAAAGCTAATGCTAAGCCAGATTCGAGACATTCCAATGGAACAGTACCTAGGGTTTCTGGGTTTACTGTTCCATTGGTTGCAGGGGGATCTGAGCAACGATCTGAGCTAATAATTCCTCCTCATCATCCTTCACCTTCTCTGGAGCAGAATACGTACAAACACAGTGAGGATCGGGCTGCTCCTTTCACTGGAAATTTAGCTGCCAAAGGAGCTTCTTTGTCTTTTGTTGCTCCGAAAGTCCAGGAAGGGAAACAAATTGTTGAACTACAGGAATCCGAGCTTGAAGTAGGTAATAAAAAATGGTCTAATGCTTTAGTTTTCTATGTGGTTGGCTTTTACCCTACTATTGCTACTGTCCTTCGAATTTTTGCTCAACAATGGAGTGATATGCAAAAACCAGATGTTTATTGGCATGATGATGGGTAATTTATCGTTTATCTATGTTCAAGTGATGATAAAGATAATATACTCTGTTTTGGTCCTCTTATGTTCCTTGGGAAACCAGCAATAGTGAAGCCTTGGTGTCCTAAATTTGACTTTAATGCTGAAATTTTGAGAATTGTTCCTCTATGGGTTAAGTTTCCTATTCTCCCACTTAATTGCGGGGATCTAACACTCTTAGCCGCATTGGTAGTTTACTTGGAGTGCCAATTTGTGCTGATGAGTGTACTACTAGACAACTTAGAGTGTCTTTTGCTAGGGTCTTAATTGAAATTGATGTTACAAAGCCTATGCCTAACTCTGTTTTGGTTGAGAGTCCTTCAAAGGAGCTATTGGAGCTCAAGGTAGTGTATGAGTGGGCTCCACCTTTTTGTTCTGAGTGCAACAAGGTTGGTCATGATTGCTCTATTAAACCTGCTTTTGCTAAGCCCAAGCAGGTTCATAAGCAGCCAACTCCTGTTGCTCCTAAGCAAAAGCAGGCATGGGTTCCTAAGCCTAGCCAAGATTCTGCTCCCGTTGTTGATGTTTGTGTTTCTGTTCATGGACAATCTGTCATTACTCCACAGGTTCATACTTCTCAAAATTCAGATGAGGGGTGGAGAATAGTTGGAAGGAAGACAAAAAGCCAGCAAACTAGAGTTCATCAGCCTGCCTCTTCCTCTAATGCTTTTATTGCTTTATTTGCAAATTAAATAGATGGTGCAGGTGGTTTCACTATAAATCCAAGCGGGGGTGAGGTTAATCCCCCTTTGGTGTCATGATTTACTCTATTTGGAATGTTAGGGGCCTGAATGACCCTGGCAAAGTTGCCTCTGTAAAGAGGTTGCTTCATTCACATTCAGTTGATGTTGTTGGTCGTCTTGAAACAAAAATCAAATTGAAAAATGTTCTCACTTATCAGAGGAAGTTTGGCTGTTCTTGGCTTTGGGTGTGCAATTATGATCATTCTCCTAAAGGGAGAAAATCTAGCTTGGTTGGAATTCAGATAGAGTAACTGTTAATGTCTTTGAGATTCATGAACAGTTCATTCATTGTAGTGTCTCTTCTAAGGACCTCTCTACTCAAATTCATCTCACTGTTGTCTATGGGCTTCACTCCATTCATGATAGACTTCCTTTGCGGGAAGGAATTAGAAGCATCTTTATTCAGCATTCTCCTTGGCTTTGTGCTGGTGACTATAACTCTGTTCTTCATACTTCAGATAGGCTTCATGGTAATGATGTTACTGATTATGAGACTAGAGTTTTCCAGAGTCTAGTTGATGATTTGGACCTCACTGAGGTCAAGAGCAAAGGAGCCTTTTACTCTTATTCAAATAAGGCTCACATTGGTCCTAGAACTCTTTCTAGGATTGATAGAGTCTTTTGTAACCAAGCTTGGCTGGCCTCTCATGGGCATGTTGAGACTGTCTATCTCCCCCCTTCTTTATCTGATCATTGTTCAGTTCTGTTGGAAGTATGTTCTGCCCCTGCTAGGAAAGGTAGACCTTTCAGGTTTCTAAACTGTATTGCTGATCACCCTGATTTTCTTGATACTGTTTCTCAGGCTTGGGGTTCTGGTAGTTCTGTTTAGCAGAAACTTAATTATGTGAAGTCTAGTATCAAGTCTCTTAATAGCAAGCAGTTTGGCAACATTGAGGAAAAGATTGATCAAGCTAATATTGAGCTTTCTGGAATTCAGAACTTAATGGCTCAGAATCTTGATGATTTGGATTTATATGCTAAAGAATCTGATGCTATTAAGGTTGTCAAACATTGGAATGATATTCAGGAAAGCATCTTCAAACAAAAATCTAGGATCAACTGGATTAAGCTTGGAGATGGCAATTCTCATTATTTCTTCTATGTGATGAAGGAATAGACAAGCAAGGAATAGAATTGACTCCATCTTTTACTCTAATCAGGTGTTGCTCAAGGATCCGGATGCTATTTGTCATGAAATTATCTCCTTCTATAAGTCTCTTTTAGGGACTCAGGCTCCTTGGCTTCCTGTTGTTGACCTTTTTACTATGAGGAGGGGTAAACAGCTTAGCTCTGTTGCTCAAAGCTATCTCATTAGGCCTATTTCTCATGCTGAAATTGATGCTGCCCTTAAGGGAATTGATAACACTAAAGCTCCTGGTATTTATGGCTTTGACTCCTTCTTCTTTAAGAGAGCTTAGCATATTGTGAAAGATGATATTTATGCTAGTGTTATTGATTTCTTCACAAAAGGGACCTTGCCTAAGCAATGTAATTACACAACTGTCACTCTTGTTCCTAAAATCCCTAATGCTTCCCATGTTAAGGATTTTAGACCTATAGCTTGTTGCACTGTGGTTTATAAGCTCATTTCTAAGGTCATAACTGCTAGACTTGCTGCTGTCATTGGTGAGGTGATTGATGATGCTCAAGCAGGTTTCATTCCAGGCAAGCACATTGGTGACAATATCCTTCTTGCAACTGAATTGATCAAAGGCTATGATCACAAATTTATCTCTCCTAGATGCATGGTTAAGGTGGATTTGAAGAAAGCCTATGATTCATTTGAGTGGGGATTCTTGATCACTTTTATGCAGGAGCTTGGTTTCCCTCAGAAATTTGTTAGCTGGATCTGGACTTGTCTTACTTATGTCTCTTATTCTATTCTTATTATTGGTTTTCCTGCCCCACCCTTTGAAGCTAAGAAAGGTTTAAGACAAGGTGACCCTATGTCTCCCTTTCTTTTTGCTATTGGTATGGAATACCTCTCCTGATGCCTTGATGAGCTTAGGTTAACTCCTTATTTTAACTTCCATCCTAGATGTGAAAAGTTAAACCTAACTCACATGATGTTTGCTGATGATTTATTGATGTTTTCTAGAGATGATAGTGTTTCTGTTAAACTCCTCTTCCAAGCCTTCTTGAAATTCTCGGGTGCTTCTGGTCTTTCTGCTAATCTTGATAAAAGTGAAGTCTATTTTGGAGGAGTTTCTGTTGATGTTCAGATAGAGCTGAGGGAGCTTCTTGGTATTTCTCAAGGTACTATCCCTTTTAGGTATCTTGGGGTCCCTTTCTCTTCCAAGAAGCTTACTATTGCTCAGTGTAGGCCTTTGGTGGAGAAGGTGACTGCTAGAATCCAAGGGTGGTTGGCTAAACACTTGTGTTGTTTGGTATTTAGACATATTGGGCTAAAATTTTTATCTTGCCAAAGAAAATTTTGAAAGAGGTTGAGGCTAGATTCAGGTGCTTTCTTTTGACTGTTCCTCTGCCCCAGCTAAAAAATCTTTGGTTGCTTGGAATAATTTCTGCCTCCCTAAAGTTTGTGGTGGCTGGAACTTGCTTTCTCTTCCTGAATGGAATAAAGCAGCTGACACTAAGTTACTTTGGGATATTGCTCACAAGGCTGATAATCTTTGGGTTAAGTGGGTCCATATCTATTACTTCAAGCATAAAGATTGTTGGACCACCCCTACCCCTGCTAAATGCTCTTGGTTTTTGAAGAAGATTCTGAGCTGTAGAGATGTTGTGAATGATCAAGGGGGATGGGATGGTTTCACACAGGGCAACAAAGTGAAATCAAGAAGCTTTATGCTGCTATTAGGCCTCAAGTCCCTAAGGTTTCTTGGAAGAGAGTTATTTGTCATAACTTAGCAACTCCTAAAAGTGTTTTTATCTTGTGGCTAGCTTTGTGGAATAGGCTTGTCACTAAGGATAGGTTGCTCCAATGGCACATTTCTTGTGATCCAAGTTGTTTCTTGTACTTGAATAGCAATGAAAGTGTTCAACACTTATTCTTTGATTGTGAATACTCTAGACAGGTTCGGAAGAAGGTGTTGGGTATCTTACATGTTTCCAAGCCTGTTCGACAGTTTAGTGATGAGATTGATTGGCTGAAGAAAATCTGCAGAAGTTCCAGATTGAAAAACAAAGTGATCCATGTAGCCTTTACTGAAACAGTTTATGGTATTTGGATTCAAAGGAATGCAGTCTTGTTTACTGGTTGCTGCTGTTTCGGGGTTTTCTGATGTCCTGCGGGAGAGTTACAATTCCGAGACTGGAACCGGACGCCTGTACCTGCAAAACAAACGGATGCTCCGGATGATTGGAGATCCGCCTCCGACGGTCAAGTTAGTACTTGATTAAGGAGTAATTAATGCGGAAATTAAAGTGATTGGGTCTCTCTAGGTGAGCGAGTTTAATGTGTGTAATCTGCGTAATCTCCCTTCATGAGGATTAAGGGAGGTATTTATAACCTCGGGAAACGTGCCAATCTAGGTTTAGGTTAACCTTGGGCTGATTGGGCTTCCCACGGAAGTTGGGCCTAGGTGACCGGTTATCCCAGGTGTCATGGGAAGGACACGTGTCGTGTCGTAATTGGTCCAGAGTGGACGGATCATTGCATGACACGTGGCAGGCTCCTATTGGCCCATGTGACGGACACATGGCGGAACCTGATTGGTCCACTTGTCAGATGGTGATTGGTGGGGAAAAATCCCCTAATCATTTTCCCCTCACAGGTGGCACGTGACTGGTCACGTGTTACCTTTGATAGGTATCGCCCTGTAACAGGCGACGGCCTGCTACAGGTGTTACTCGGCGAGAGGCCGAGAGATTCTCCCACCAAAATTTTGAATTCTGGAAGTGACCCTTCGCCTTCTCACTTCGCCTATATAAAGGAGTGTTGACTTCGGTCATTTTCACACTTGAAAACTTTGTGAGAGAACATTCGGACCCCTGAACTTGCTCTGACATTTTGGACCCTTTCTGCCTACCGCCTGCTCTGACAAGCCGACTGCAAAGGATTTTCAGAACTTCATCAATCGTCAGTCGTTCAGGTAACCGTCGGTTCTCTTACTCTTAATTTTCTATATACTTTATTCTTTTTTGAAATGGCACCACGGAAGCACACGACACGACCTAGGTTAGTGATCAGCCGGTCACCGGGGACGGCTGAATCTAGGACTAGGAGTGCCGCCTGCCCTTTTCTCGACCCATCTTTGCCCTTTATACAAAGTCCGACTATATCTGTGTCTATGCAGAGCATGATGGTCAGAACAAAAAAGACTGCCATGATCTCAAACTCAGACGGCTCCTCCCACAGGGTGCCGATTAGTGAAACATCTGACCAGGCGCCAGATGTGGAAGTGAAACAAAGCGGCTTGAAAGCCGGCAGTTCTGAGGGAGGAGTCAAAGTGACCCCTTCCTATTTTACAGTTGACAATTCTACATTCTCTCCTGCTCCTTTTAAAGGAGAGGAGGCGGGCCCCTCCGGGAGAGGGGAGGAGTCGTCCTCTTCGGACTCGTCAGAGGACGATTCCGAGTCTAGCTCTTCTGGCCATGCTTCTCTGGACACAGAAGAGAAAAACAATCGCCTGCAAGAGGCGAGGCTTTCTCACGCAGTTGAGAAGGGGGACGATTGGGCGGAGCCATCCGCCTCTCACCGAGAGAAAAATACCCCCTACTATTACACGGTACCTCGGGGCCGGATCACAGTCATGCAAGAGAAAGTGGAGAGCTTTATCGCAAACCACACAATGGGCCCCGGCTTTTTAGTGTTCGTTCCGGATCCAGAAGACACTGTCGTCTGGCCGGCTGGTACCAGTTATGATGGCGCCTGCTTTGGATTCTATGAGGCGGCCATCAAGGCTGGGCTGCGCTTCCCACTACATCCGGTTGTTCAGCGGATCTTGGATGGGTATGATTTGGGGTTGTGGCAGTTAGCCCCGAACTCCTGGGTCAACGTACTCGGCTATGTGGCCAGGTGCGAACTGCACGGGGTGGACCCAAACTTTGAGGCTTTCGCCCACATGAACTACCTCAGCCGGACCCCTAAGGCAGGCGGTACCGGCTGGTATCAATTGACGAGCCACAGGGGCTACCTCATGACGAGAGGTAAAGCAAACAAATGGAAGGACTGGCGGAGCACCTTCCTTATCATTGAGAGTTCAGACACAGAGCTGAACAAGCGCTTCAAAAGGTGGAAAAGGAATCCGCCCCTTCTTGCAGGCGGCCGCAGCATGCCGCTTGTTCCCCCCAAGGCTAAAAAAGAGATCCTAGATAAAGGACTCTTCAAAGTAGAGTCGAAGGTGAACTCTACTTCAGGGGTACGAGAGCAAGTACCCCTGCACTGCGTCCCGAGCTTCAAATGGCTCTACGACGAGTACTTTTTGGCCGCCTGTGGCCTCAGCAGTCGGTGCTCAAGAGGTAGTCGGCCTGTCGAATACTCTGTTGTTCCATGCATTTCTTGTTATGACTTTTATTAACTTTGCTATTTGTTTTTGCAGCGGACGCCATGAGCAAAATTACCGCCTCCAAGACTACGGCGGCCATGTTGCTGGCCTCCATCATGCAACAGTCTTCAACCGACTCCCCCAACAAGGGGGCACCCTTGGTGGGCTTCGAACCTTTCACCCTCTTTGTGGAGTTGTGTTTATGCATATACTGACTCTTTTCTTCTCTTTTAGACGGGCGCTCCAAGAGCTTCTTGTTCCCAACAGCCGGACCCCAAGGCCCGGAGGACAACTGTTGCGAGCTCTCCTGGTTCTGCCAGGAAACATGTGGCGGCTGAGAAACAGCCGGCCACTTCTTCTAAAACTCTAGCTGGGCCACCTAGAAGTATGAAATTATCCTTGTAAATTTTAGACTTGCTCCCTTCTTTACTTGGTCTAATCCGTTTGTTTATGCTTGATGCAGCCGGCCCTCAGGAGCCTGACTTGGTCGAGGTGGCCAAGTCTATGATCAAGGCCGTTCCTCCAGCTGAAAGGGAGGCGGTCAGGGGTGTCGGCACCCTTGACTTAGACGGGATTGCAGGGGTCCTTGCTGAGGTATACTTAGCATATTTTTGAGTATTTGAATTCCAGGACGCCTGTTTTCTTTTTTATTTGGAAACTGACGCCTGTTCCCCTTTTTACTTAGGCCCTGCTCCGAGTGAACGGCCTTCGCAAGCCGCTTGACCGGAAGAACAAAGAGGTAAAGGCTGCAAAAGCTATGGCCGCCTCTGACTGTGATAAGGCAATGTTTCAAATTGCCCAAAATGAAGTTCTGACCATTGATATTCTTTATTATCAGGCGCAGGCTACCGCCGCTATCCGGGCTCAGTTAGAGGCGGCCCAGAAAAGGAATAGCGAGCTGGAGGCGACCATCAACAACCTCAAGGCCGAGCTGAGACCTTATCGCCAAAAGATGTCCTCATACGAAACCTTGGAGAAATCCTTGGCGAGCGTAAAGGTACGCCTGGTGACCCAGGAGAAGAGTCTTACTCAGGAGCTCTCGGAAAAGGCCGAGCAAGAAAAGAAAGAGCTGGTCCGGGAGATGATGGAAGACTCTGCTCAAATCCAGCGCATGACTTGGGGCCGCCTCTTCCCCAATGCCGACTTTGCCTCATGGGAAAAAACGTACCGCCAGTGTTCTAATAGATATAATCAAGAGATCCTGGCGGCTGCTGAGGAAGAGTCGTTGGAGGAAGTGTCGCTTGGGGGTAATGCATCAAAGAAGGATGCAACTGAAGCCGAGTCCAGCAAGAAGAGTGCTGACCAGGCGGCAGCTGCTAATATTGAAGATCTGCCCCCTTCTTAAGCTTTATGTCTTTTTTCCACGGCCTGCGTGCCGTTTGTTTGTATTTACCCGGCCAGGGGGCCGGGGCTCTGAATATTTTGCCGGTCTTTAATGACCGGCTTCTTTTTAATGAATTTTTTTTTGTTTTGCTTCAAATTTGTTTAAGTATTGAATATTCTGATATCCAATTGTACACTATACCGACTGTTTTACATGGTCG